ATCTTCAATGATCAAAACATAAAAAAGAAGTCCTTCCAAAAGGAGAAATTAGGTCAAATTACAAGGATGACTATAGACAAATAAGTATGGAGTGACAAAATTAGAAATGCTAATCCCTGAACAAGCTCAAACTAGCTAAAGATATAAAAGATAACAAGAAAACATTCTTCAAATATATTAGAAGCAAGAAGAAAACCGATCACATGGTAGGGCCCATTACTCAGTGAGGGAGGAAAAACAATAACAGAAAATGTGGAAATGACAAAGGTGCTTAATGACATTTTTGTTTTTCATGAAGAAAGTTGGTGGTGATTGGATATCTAACATAGTAAATGCCTGTGAAAATGAGGTAGGATCAGAGGCTAAAACAGGGAAAAACAAGTTACAAATACTTAAACAAATGAGATGTCTTTTGCACAATCCTGGATATCAAAGACATGATAATTCCAGAGGACCATGGAGAGGTACAGTGAGAGTAGAGCGATGGGCATGTGGGGTAGCTCAAGAAGAGCACACCATATCCTTGCATATGGTGCAAGACAGGCTGTGGCTACAGGCCATGTTCTCCTGGAGGCATTTTGCTTGAGTAAGAGACAATGTCTACTGGCGTTACCACTGGTTGACTGCCCCAACACTGCAAGGTACAATGCTCTAAGAGCCACAATTTAATTTATATTCTAATACTGACAAAGGATTGAGCCTCAGACAGATGTTGCACTTTACCTTTAAATCAATAACTTTTCCAGGCTCCAAAAGAACATATACTAAAATAGTACACCTAACTCTGTATTTTCTTTGAACTTACATTTAATTAAATGACTTAATTCTTCTACTAGAAAAAACTGTCAGTGCACCAAATCATAAAATACGATAGAAAACTGACTAGTTACATGAATTCATCTGCTGAAACAGTACATTTGCTGTGTACCAGATAAATTATTCCCTTTGCTTGTAAACAACGGAGCTTCCAATAAATAAATACCTATCCGAAGAACTGAATTACTATACACCTTTGCAACTCAGTATTAAACAGATTATTAGTTCATAAAGAGAAAAAAAACCCAAACTCTATTCATATATACTCCTATAAAAGAGAAAGAAAAAGTAAATTAAATATAAATACTCTGGTGATTGCTCATCATTAGACCTTGAACTTGATAAAGCTTTGAAAAAATATGAGCTATTTAATGCAAAATGAACAGGATATTGTTTTACTCATTTCAAGTATTGATTCACACTCATCAGTATGGACCTAAAGTAGATTTAATTAATGAATGCATTTTATCATTAATTCATCAATGATTTCTCTCAATAAACAAGAGGAAATAGCCCCAAAACTCTTTATATGGTTTAGGTTTTTTTTTTTTAAACGTGCTAGTAAATCACAGAGATTTCTGCACGGAACATTTTTTTTCTTCTCTAAATGAATGGTAAACTCTAGATATCCAGTTTTCTGACACAGCAGGCTAAAACAGGTCATGAGCAAAAAATAACTGCACCGTTGTACTTGTCTACATTTTGTCTGGTTCAGTTGTTGAGCAGTTATACAGGTTCATGTCCCACAGTATCAGTATAGATGTTCATGCAATGCTGGAGGCCATTTTGGATGGATCAGTGCCCACGTTTTGATGATATTTTCAAGGAGATGATGAGAAAAAACAGCAGTATATTTTAGAGCGAGGAATACTCAGACTAATGCCATATTAAAATAGGAAAGTGGAGATGAACATCATGCTATTACCTGACCTGGAACTAATTTGACAGTATATGTTTAGAATTACTTGTCACATTTCTAAAACTACTTCAGAAACTTGGGTTGCCCACTTGCTTCAAGCAAAATTAGGATACAAAGCACTTTCTTATCCTTTACAGGCTTTCTAACAATTCAAATCACAAAGCTAAGCTGTTTTATTACGGTATTTAAGTGAGAAGATGCTTTCAAAAATGTCATAGATTATTAAATGCCACAAGATTTTTAACAATTACATAACACAGAAATATTCATATAACTACAATAATATTCTGAATTAAACATACATTTTCTTACATATCAAAGTATTACCTTTTCTAAGGAGGTTATTTGTACAATTGTAGACATGGAAATCTTAGATCTTAAATTAAGGTCTCTCTCTCTCTCCTCCCCACTCTCTCCCCACATACACAGTAAACATTTTGGATATTCTACCTAGCCTAACTCAAAATTTCTAGCATTACACAGGAAGGACATACAAAGGAATAACATAATCTCCACAGCTCTAGTAAGGCCTTAACTAGCAGCATGAATAAGAAACAATACCAAACTTGAGTGTCTTATTCCTATTTTTTACCTGTTTCTAGGCCTGTTGCAATGGACACTGGTGCACATCCTATGCATTCCTAAGGCAGGATTCATGGAAAAAGACGTTCTGACACAGTGGCAGCAGCAAGACTGGGTTAAGGGATAACCACATTGCTGTAGCAGCTATATTAATTTGCTCTGTCCCTTCTTTTAGACATTCTTTCTAGTTTCTCAAATATCAACTTCCCAACTCTCTCCATATTCTGGTGGTCAGGTCTGTTTCACTATGATGAAAGCTGATACTTTATTAGGAACATGGTTATCAATGGGATATCTGGACCCAGTATTTAAAGTGTAGACACAGGCTTAGTATAGCTGCATCTTTATTTTGCTCATAGAATAAACTACCTAGCTACATCACAGATAGACCTAGTTCACCAACATGGGCAGTCTACATTCAGTTACAGCATCATCTTGCTATTTGGATACTTGCTATAACAAATGGGCACACTTTGTTTTGTCAGAGACCTTGTGGAAATTTTGGAGTGTGAAAGTGATGAAAATGCAGATGTACCACAAGTCTTAAATGTGTAAATTGCCCTGCAATTTCAGGCAGTTATTAAGCTCATATAAATATTGCATTCAGGGACACTCAATCAATCAATCAATCAATTAATCGAAGACTCCAGCAGTTCACATCACAGTACTTCAGACAGCAAGCCCACACGCATCATATGGCCCCAAAAGATTAGTTTTAAATTAGCATGCGCCCCTCTTGTCTCATTACTCATTCAGAATGTGAGATGTGCATCATTAAGCTAGGTACTAATTTGTTCTTAAACTGCACTCATTCATCATTAGTTGGCAGTGAGAGGTTGATAAAGTCAGTTGTGGAACACTTCTGTGACCCACCCATGAATTGTACACTTTCTGCATGATTTACTTATGACACTCTCTAGAAAGTTATTTTAACAATTTTGGTAACCCATATTGTTGTAAAGATGATTTTTTTGGTCAGGTTAGTCTCAGAGGTTCCTGTTTGCTTTATTTCTAAAATTGGACTCTTGTGCTTCTACAAAAAGGTGTTCATATACTTCTCTATTAAATGGTATCTTCAATGAATTACCAAAAATAGTCACCTCAGTACTATAGTGTTCCATGGAGAGATTACTACTCATACAAGAGATGCATAGTTTTCAGTGGGGATTATAGTAAGGATGTTCCTCTTAGATGACTGAAATACTATTTTAGGGATAACTTCTAAGATAAATTGAGGCCTAGGAATCTTTCAAAATTCAGTTTAATTATTAATACACTTCCTTTACGCCCCTATATATAGGCCAAAAATGAAACATGGTTATGGTAAACTGTAATTTTGTGTATAAGAACTTTTTAAACCTATGCCATGTCAGCTCTCATCATATGTTAATTTGTGTCTGTCGTGACTTTACAAAACTTTAATAGAAGTATTTTAATAACATTTATGAACATAAATCTTCCATAAAACTTATAAACTAATTAATATTTCAATGCATGAGCTGTCTAACATTCTAGTGAAGTAAACTGGGTTCAGCTTCAGTTACAAAAATAGAGAGTGGTTGCTTCTTTTACCTGCTTTATTCATCGGCAATACTCAACAGCATCAGAAAAGTTAAGAGGAGGAAAAGCAAACCACTCAGTTCACCCCCAAGCATAAATACAAGGTACCCTGCTAGAAAACGCATCAAAAGCTCAATTGCACATTCACAGTAGATTACTGACATTGTATTGTCTGTTTAAAAGACTAAAATAAATGACCCCACTATGAATGACAGGTTTGAAATGTCAACTCTAAATTTTAAATTGTACAATCTCAGTAAATTACCTGATTTGACAACTGGAAGGGAAATGGTGTTGTCTGTAGTATCCAGAATAATAGCCAGTCCTGCAGAATAAGATGGGAGGACACTGGTACTGAGGTCTATACGTGTTAGACTTTCAGGCTCTTTTTCCACATCTCCTAAAATACCAGTGGCATTGGCACTTTCAACACCAGCCCTTTTCTGAATACTTTCTCGTGGACTCTGAACAATATGAACTATACTCTGCTGGGCCAGGTCACAGTTCTGCAAAACAAAAACAAAATCCCAAAATATGATTGATACATATGGGAAAATTCACTGTCTCCAATTTTGTATTTTAAGCCATTTCTAATCCACTGTGTGTGGAATTTCAATAAGCATTAACAGAGCTGAAAAAAAAGTGATAAGTGTACATTGCAAGAATTAGGATTACTTGCACTGTCAACACAGTTACAAATGCTTACAAATTCTCAATATTTAACAAAGAGATGGCGGACTAGAGCCAACAGCTTTGAATAATTTGGGGGATGAACAGAAGGAATTGTTATTAAATCAGATGCTAAGAAACTGTAATATATAAAATGTATTTTTATAGATAGTGATGAAAAAGTTTATAATATTAATATTTAACAAAGAATAAGTGATCCTGTTTTACTAACAGTTTAAAGCATTCACAACAATGCTTGAATTAGTGTGCGTGAGGAATGAATGAAGTAATACCTAGGGTTGCCAGATCCTTTCACAAAAAATCCTGAACATGGCGAGGAAAAAAATTGGTTGAGGGAAGAAAAAAAAAACAAGTAGTTGCTCCTTTAAATTCCCATGCTCCCCACTTGCCCCGCCCACACCATCTGAGAAAAATAGAAAATACCAGAAGTTTTATATGTCTGGTATTTTCTGGGTTTTTTTACCGGACAGAAGATGCAATTACCGGACTGTCCGGGTGAAAACCAGCCACCTTGCACCCCTAGTAATGCCATCCTCCCACTTCTTGATGCTACAGGTTGGAAAACTGAAAAAAAAAAAGTGTTTTTTTTTCTTCAGTTCAAACATTGTGCATGATACATAGGAGTAAACACTACAGCTACATCATTTTAGTTAATCATTCACAAACATGTTTGGAAGCCTTGTTGTTTAGACTAAAAAAGTAGGTTCATTTATTTGTTCTGTATTTAAGAGGGGGCTGCACCCCTGCTTGCTACACTCGCCAACCCTCCTCTCATTGGCCATTTCCATGGCTAGAGTTAATAGCCTGTTAATCTTGCACTATGCCCAGCTATGCTCTCTGTGGACCCAAGTCTCTTACACCCTTCTCCGCTCCCACCCACCACACCCCTGGATGGGCCCCTCAATCTAAATGCTCTCAGCCCATCCCACCCACTCACGCCCTTTAAATGCCAGCCAATCTCCCCTATGCCACTCCTGCCCACCCGCCAATAAAATGTGTCAGGAAGGGCTATGCTCTGTGGTCTTGGGGGCCTCACATGTAAACGAAAATCAAATGCAACCAGTAAAATGGGGCCAACTCCAAACAAATCCCCTTCATTCTGGGTGCTCCTGGGTACCTGGCTTGCTAGCAAAGGGAATGGGCTGGGTTACATGCGAGCAGTCAGGTAGGGAGAGAATTCCCCACTCTGCGCGCCCCACTCTGTGCATCTTTGCAAGGCGGCAGTGTCCAGATATGCCCTTCCAGCTGGCAAGCAAGCTCCCATTGCAGGGCTGGGACATGCTCCATATGGACAGAGTACTACAGAGAGACATGGAACTGGGGGAGCCCCCAGTTCTATGCATCCACACCCTACTGAGAACCAGATTTGAGTCATACGGGAAGAGAGTCCTCTGGGGTAATCTGGATGGTTAGTCCTTATCCTGGAGCTCCATGGCCCACAGGCCCACCCCCTTCCTTCCATCCATCCCTATCTCCACCTCGATCCTCCACTCCTACACCCACCATCCTCCCTAACCCCTCCCCACCTCTTACTGTCTACCCCCCTCCTTCCATCCCCACCCTCGCCTCCATCCTCCATTCCTACACCCCCATCCCTCTGTCTTCATTCCCACACCCACCATCCTCTCTAACCCCTCCCCACCCCACACTGCCCATCCCCCTCCTTCCATTCCTACCCCCATCTCCATTCCTACATCCCCATCCTTCCCTAGCCCTTCCCCATCTACACTCCCACACTGCCCATCCCCCTGCCTTCATTCCTATACCCTCCCCAGGCCTACATATATCCTATCTCCCTTCCTACACACACCGTGCCCCCTTCCAGAAATTCATGAAGCAGCGCGTCCCTCCCAGGAGCACAATCGAGCTAGGCAGCACAGCCCTGGCCTCCGCAGCAGGAGCCACAGCCCACTCCCAGCCCAGCCTTTCCAAACAGGCCTGTTGGGGCAGCTTTGCCCTGTGGTGAGCCCAGGGAGTGCGGAGCACAAAACCACTGCTCCAGAGAGCTGGGGAAGCAGGTGGGGTGCAGCATCACAGTGCTGTCCCCAAAGGACTAGGTGTGTAGCGTGGCCAACACCTTCTCAGCCTGTGGTGGGGACAGGAGAGTGTGCCTGAACCAGGGACCTGGCCATGGGTCACTGGCATATGCTGGAGCTGCTTGCTCAGGGGGAGACCTGCAGCACGGTCCCCAAGCACTGTCATGGGGGACAAAGCAAAGCCGTGCAGCAGGCGCGTGGGCCGGGCAGGCTGGGGTTGAGGCCCAGAGGGAGGCAGATGCTGCTCCAAGGGGCATGTGTGGATGGAGCCACCATCCCTCCCCATTTCACGGAGCGGTCAGTTGGTCAGGGCTTTTGAGGAGGAGTCAGCAGGGAGAGGGAGGCAGGATGCAGAGTGACATGATGATGTCACTTTGTCATCCCACAGGAATTTTTTTTATATTTATAGAGACAATTGCTATTAATTAAAATAAAATTAAAATAAAAAAAAACTTCTGAAAATGAAATAAAGTTTTAAGACAGTTAATAATAAGAATTGAATGTATTAAATGTAACTTGGAAATCTAAAAAGTTTATGAAAACCTGATAATTAATTGTGCTTTGCTGGATTTAATTAAACATTTTTCTTCAAGTTTATTATACACTCTTTAGGATCCCAATCTCTATATTTTTAAATCAAGATATTGCTTTCCGTTCTCTGACCTTCTGGTAATCCTGATGATATCAGATCATGTAGGTACTTTTGAATTCTTTGAATTACTGCATGTGCTCCCTCACATGCTTCCTCACATTTTTGTGTGTATGTGGACCACAGCTTCCTGGTTAATTAGAATCAACTATTCTCATGTGCTTTCACAAATTTGTTTTTTGTCCCCACAGTCCATATAATAAGTCCTATGATCAATTTTGACAATTATCTTGGGTTCGGTCATGAGCCACTTAGTGAGCATGTGCCGCAGAGAAAGAGGTAGGCAGTGTCCTTGAGAACTGATAATTATTTCTTAGCTCCCAATGTACCTTATCACTTTAACCTAGTATTAAATATCAACTCTATGCAAATTCTGCAGCTGTTTCCATAGTTCAGATTCAGCTGGGATCTTGAGAATCAGAGGGAATTTACAGTTATGTTAAAGACATCACAATCACTAAAATCTTTTCTAGTAATGCAAAAGGGTTTCATCATTCAGCCAGAAAGAAAAGTAAACTGCTGGATTTTCTATAGGTCTTGGTTTTCAAAGGCTTCCTTTTCTTCAGCAGCCAGCTGGAATGGCAACTCAGTTGGCAACTCTTTCCGGATGTTCTTCATTTTATGGGAAGCATCCAACATTAATAAACAAATTACCATCCATTCCTGTTTCAAGAATTTAAAAATCCTTCAGATTACCTGGATTTCACTATTAGACTTCCTGAATTCACAATGTAAATTGCTCTCTGAATACCTGGTTTTCATTCAACATTCGTTTTTCTCCGTCTCCCTCATTTGTGTGTAAACTAGATGTCCATCTTGAAATTTTTTCAGCTCTCAGAATGGTCCTTTCTATCTTGCACAAAATGGTTCTGATTAGTGAGGACAATTTCACAATTTTTAGAAGAAATTGCTCTCCATGTGTTGCCTCTGGAGGCCCAGGCCTGTCTTTATTATTATGACGGGGTTATACATAATGCCCAGTTGCACAGAAATAAACCAGGTTGTACCCTCAAAGGATCATTATGCTAACCCTCTTCAGTTTCATCACATTGGCCTTGTGCAAACTGGTGTGATCTTAGTGGATAGTTGATTGTTTTGGAGGGAAGGGACACACAATTATTTTGCAGGCCCACCTCATTGTGCTGGTATACCATTTTAGAAAACACAGCTATTCCTGAATGATCCCGTGGGTTTGAGTTATGGCAAACCAATGGATTTAATATACAGATGGTTTATAATAACTGCAGGTTTGGGCAGAATGGGAGAATCCTGAAAAGCTGGGCCAGATCCTCTGCCCCACTTTCTCTCGGCTGCCTCCAACTCTGTGGGAATAATCATTTTAGAAATGGTATATTTTAGATGAACAATGAGGCCCAAAACCAAGGGGAACCTGTATGAATGGGGAGGAATATCACAGGGGCAGCATTATCCCTGCAATGTATTCCAGGCTTGAATGCAGACACTCCTCCATATATGGATGTAAAAGGGAAAAAGTTGACCCAGTTTCACTGATATAAATTTAGAGTAACTTCACCAAAGTTAATGCAGTTACTAATGATTGACACACTGGTTTAACTAACAGCAGAACTCATCCCAGTAAGAAAGTTACATGTTAGCAGACATCAGCTACACTTTTAATTGAACAAGGTTCCCTTACAGATATTTTGATATTCTTTGTAATTCTCCCCCCCCCCCCCCCCCCCCCCCACCAAAATCTGGAAATTATTGCTTAATTTTGATTTGAGTTCACATTTTCCTTTGAATTATTTCTCAGCAAGTCTGTATTTTTTTTCTTTATAAAATGCAATTCTAAAAATATGAAAATCTGTATTTATTGAATTTTTAATAACATGCTTTTTCTCTAGTAGAGCATTAATCCAGTCAGCAGAGATTTGTCAGAGTAAGGACTTTCCAGACTTAATATTCATATAATGCTGTTGTTAGGTTTCAACTTGAAGGCATACTTTTATCACTAACAGACCTAGGTTTGGTTGATTTTTTTTAAACACGTAGTTGCCCATAATATTTTTAGACAATATATTTAATTTGCTTCATAAATCCGTTCATTAACAGAATCCAGCACACAACAGTTGTTCTTTTGAAAATGCTCTAAAAATAAAGACATTGTAGCAGTATTGTGGTAGATGTGGGATAAAGTTTCCAAAAATGCCTGATTGATTTGGGAGCCTAAATTCATTTTTCAAAGGTGTCTTAGGCACTTAGATTCAGTGTTTGTAAAAGGGTTTATTTTTGTTCGGTGGAGGAGAACTGCTTGGGCCAGCCCCGAGGCTTAACTTGAAAATACTGATAAGTAAATACAAAGGAAGAAAGCAAACACTGTCCAGCATGAGGCTGATTTACTCCATGCTGCTCTTCTACCAGAAAGGGAAATGTTAAGTCCAGTGAGATAGAGGAGGTGTTTTGCAAGACATGATTTATACCAATGAAAATTATGGATTTGTCAATGCTAATTCAACCACAAGAAACTTCTTAGTTTTGCTTTGAAATGAGTAACTGAAGAGCTCTGAGTAAAAATAACAAACACCCCTTTCCTTGGAGTTGTACTAAAACTTCAGCACTGACCATGGATCCTAGTCTTCTGTGATAAAGAACCCCCAAGCTCTCCACTTAGGAAGGAACAATCAGTTTCACACAGATAGAATGGGAAGCGACTGTCTAGAAAGGAGTACAGCAGAAAGAGATCTAGGGGGTATAGTGAACAACAAGCTGAATATGAGTCAGCAGTGTAATGCTGTTGCAAAAAAAGCAAACATGATTCTGGGATGCATTAACATGTGTGTTGTGAGCAAGACACGAGAAGTCATTCTTCCGCTTTACTCTGCACTGGTTAGGCCTCAGTTGAAGGATTGTGTCCAGTTCTGAGCACTGCATTTCAAGAAAGATGTGGAGAAATTGGAGAGGGTCCAGAGAAGAGCAACAAGAATGATTAAAGGTCTAGAGAACATGACCTATGAAGGAAGGCTGAAAAAATTGGGTTTGTTAAGTTTAGAAAAGAGAAGATTTGTTAGGTTTAGAAAAGAGGGGGGGGGGGGGGGACATGATAGCAGTTTTCAGGTATCTAAAAGGGTGTCATAAGGAGGAGGGAGAAAACTTGTTCATCTTGGCCTCTGAGGATAGAACAAGAAGCAATGGGCTTAAACTGCAGCAAGGGAGGTTTAGGTTGGACATTAGGAAAGAATTCCTAACTGTCAGGGTAGTCAAACACTGGAATAAATTACCGAGGGAGGTTGTGGAATCTCCATCTCTGGAGATATTTAAGAGTAGGTTAGATAAATGTCTATCAGGGATGGTCTAGACAGTATTTGGTCCTACCATGAGGGCAGGAGACTAGACTCAATGACCTCTCGAGGTCACTTCCAGTCCTACTATTCTACGATTCTATGATAAAAAAATCATAAAAATCCAGTTTTCCACTTTCCATTAAAATGAAACCCTGAACTTCAGTTTCATTAGCCTCACTAGAGATAGGTATCATGTGACCACAATGTGTTTTTGCTATAGAGTGGAACCTTGCTTATCTAAGTCTCCATTATCGGGATCTCTCTTAAAAAGGGAAGTTCATGTTCTTCTGTGGCAAAAGAATTTCTAGGAACTTTTCTAACCTTTCTGTTCATCTCAACGGATATGAATGCTGAAGTCTAAAGTAGGGTTATTATATATCGTTTAATTTAATAATCATATAATCACACAAAATCTTAGCAGTTACGCGATTATTTGATGGTTGCTGGGGGCAAGGCCAGCAGCCAGTATGCTCCCAGCCCTACTCCTGGGGAGCTCTCTGCCACCCTGTGCTGCTGCCTCTGTATCAGAGGCAGTAGCACAGGCTGGCAGGCGGGAGCTGGTCTAAGAGGGCAGCTGGTTGAAAAAATGGCTCCCCTCACAGAATGGCTCCCACTTGTCACCCCACACTGCTGCCTGTCACATCCCACCTGCCCACCTCTCTCCCTCCCCTGCTATCATAAGACCTCTCTGAGAGGCAGCAGAGCAGGAGGGCAGGCAGCTCCACGGGAGCTGATACATGTGGGGAGCTGGCTTGAAAGCCAGCTTCCCACATGTACCAGCTCTCTCCTGCCCTCCCCCACTCTCTGTGCTGCTTCCTCTCTAACAGAGGCAGCAGCACAGGAGTGGGAGTGAGGAAGGTGGCTCTGCAGGATCCAGTGGGCGTGGAGAGCCAGCATAAAAGGCAGCAAGGATAGGAGTTTGTGTAGTAGTTAGAATTAACTGATAAGGCCAGGCTTATCAGTTAATCATTTAAATGACTATATCCTAACAAACCTAATTTAAAGATAACATTTTAGTTGCCAATATTAACAATTTCAGTTGGGTATTTCAAAGGTTCCTAAAAGAGTTAGTCTCCCTTTAACTTATCAGTTTTCATTGATGAATAGATTGGCAGATTGTATGAGGAAGAGGGTGGGAATGAAGTCAACAGAATGGTAAATCTGGAGTTGTTGCAGGTAGGTTAAACAATAGCATTAATAATAGTTGATTAGTTGGACTAATCAGTACAAATTAAAAGTTAAAATAACAGCAGAAACATCAGATAAAGTGAACTATCTTCCTGGTGTTTTAATTTATATAGCATAATATAAACTACTAGGGAGAAGGAAATGAAATAATTTACCTTTTTGGAATTCCAGTTATTACCTCAATAACATTTACTCTGTGGAGGTAATTAAAGACTTTTTGAAAAGTGGCAACTCTTTCCTCCTCATACCAGCTTCCGGTGACCCAGACACTGCAAAGAGAACTACGTGGGCAGACTTCTGTGCTCATGTAAAACCTCTGTTTAAATCAGTGGGGCTTTCTACAAGCAGAAGGCTTCACCCATGCACTTGTTTTTACAGAGTAGTTACCTGAGCATATATGCTTTATTTACTAACAAAATGAATGATATCATAGCAGACCAATGATCCATCCAGTCTGGTATCCTGTTTGTGGCAATAGCAAGTACCAGATGCTTTGATATCAGATGTAAATTTCACATACTGAGCCACTAACATACACTAACATGACTAGGAAGGACATTTGTTCTTAAGTCAGTACAGTTAATAGTTTTACTGTAATAAAGATTTCTTTTAAAATATATTTTTATTGCAGAGGTAACAGCTGGAGCAGAGTGATTGCATTCTAGTCTTCCTTACACATTTAATCAGAGACATCAGCAAAGTTCTGATCACAGAATCTTTATTTGATGATGATGATTGATGATGGTGCAACCCAGACAAAGATCAATTTGTTAGGTCACAAGCTGAATTTACAAGACTGGCTGTGGGGGCAGAATGTTCTTCTTTGTATTTGTAAACTGAGTAAATTAGATGTGGAGACCACTAAGTAATCCTGTTTCCACACTTTAGTTGAACCTGATTTGAGTTTCAGAAAAGAAAACATTCACCTATCTTTGTAGAATAAAAGGAGCAAGAAAAAAAATGTGTTTGTTCTCTTATGAAACATAAACAGTCTATTAGAATCTCTCTGAACAGTTCCTAGAATCAGTAGTGACTTGGCATAGTGTAAATAGAATAGATTAGGTAGACAGAAGTCAGGGTGGGCCTGCACCTTCTTCGCTGACAGAAAAGATATTATTCAAACAACTTCTGTAAGTGCCTTAGGTTTTTGCCTTGAGTTAGTATTGTAGACACAAATCTAATATGCATTTTTTCAGTCAATATCTCTTTCATTTTCTACATATATTTGTTTTATGCCTCAGGAAAGGTTTCTTTTGTGAATAGCTGTTATTAATAATTCTGAAGATATTGTCTTGTCTTATCTGTTCATCCAAATTAATGCTTATCCATGATCTAGTATCCAAAGGGAAATACTGTGTGTGTAAATATCACAGACTATCAAGAGCTACCCTCACCAGAGCAAAAGGAGCTCACAAGATCCAGAAGTGATTAAACCAAGCGTCAGAGGCTGGTACTTTACACAGAATGCATTTGGGACAAGCTGAACAGGTGGCTTCGTAACAGACTATTTCAGTATTCAAACTCTTTCTCAGAGGTATTTACCTTCATATCCTCTTCCCACTTCACATCAAAAAAAGTCTTTCCCAAGTCTAAGCCAGCATCTTTTGAGCGAATTACAGGTAACTATTCAGTACTGTCAGCTATAGGCTGACGAGCAGGCCAACATGGAACAGTGAAAACTGACAATTTACAAGAAAGGTTTTGATGAAGTGTGAAGGAGAAGGAAAAGATGCAGACAGTTTCTATAGTCCTATCTCTCTCCGGAGCATATATGGCTTTGTCTACACTTAACAGTTTAAAAGTGCAGATGCAGCAGTGCTTTAAACTGAAAGCATGGCCATGATAAGTGCTGGGAGAGAGTTCTCTTGGCGCTTATGTAAACCACCTTTGCAAGGGGAGTAGCTAACAGCAAACACTGGCACTGTATAGCGTTGTAACTGGCTGCATTTAAGAAGGTGTTTTTTTCACACCCCTGAGCCAGAAAGTTCTGTAAAGTAGACTTGGTCTAAATCAGTGTTTCTTAAACTTTTTAATACTGAGGAACACCAAACAATAATTTTTGTTATGAGGAACACCAAGGATTTTTTGTTGGGGAAAAAAAAAAGTCCGGGAAAAAAGTGTCGGGGGAAAGTTATTGAGCAAACAAAAGAGGGCAGCCATTTTGCCATTCTGTTGTTCTCCACAGCACACCTCCGACTGCCTCACGGCACACCACTGCGCCACGGAACACAGTTTAAGAAACACTGGTCTAAATCTTCCACTTGTTATTTTCCACACTCACAAGATATAGTGACACACTCCTGACAGAAGAACTGTTGTTCATTTATATCCAACATATGGACAGACTAATGGGAAAACATCTTCAATAAAATGAAACTTTAAAAATGTTTAATTTAAAAAGATTTAGCACTTAGACTCCACTTCATCAACAAATGAGATTAGGGCAAATGTCATCAGAATTTATGACCAATTTAAGAATAACTGGAAGGTAGAACAACTCTTTCCAATTAAGAAATACCAAATGACATCCTGAGCCTTATAATCCGAGAGAAAAAGACACCGCATGGAAAATAACTTGAAAAATTGGGCTTCATAAATAAATCCTTGCCATCCTACACCGTGCAAGCTGGCATGCAGAATGCCTAGCGTATCTGAGCTACTGCATCCTGCTCTAGTGGAAGTTAAATTGATAAGAGAACTGCTTGTAACAGTCAAACAAACAGCTTATCGCCAGCTAGAATCACTTCAGTGAAAAAGAGAAACAGAAAGAATGTCTGATATAGGAGGGTAAATGAAGGCTGTTGAATAAATTGAGGTAAAGAGAAAAAGCAATAAAGAAATAGGGGCTGAAACTGCAATAACCAAATAGCATAGTTAAAGATCCTTTTGCTTCAGTAGACGCATCAAGTATTTAGAAAGCTGTTCCCATCCAAAATGTGAGAGTGCTGAGAATAAGTTTGTTTTGCCTGTAACAAGGCAAGAGAGCAATGACCTCCAGGTTACATTCTTAGTGACAGTGAATTGAGGCAAAGTATACTTTTAGGCAGTTCCCCAAACAGTGAAGTGGGAGAGAGGGGAAGAGAATGACTGCTCAATCTCACCAAGAAGGCAAAGAGCAGGGAGGCAATTTGAAGCCCAATATACTTCAATGTAAAACTATAACAAGGCTGGGTTGAAGGGTTTCATACTTTATTTTCCACACTGTACCAGGACATGGTCCTTATCTTTCTGATTCTTCAGTTACTTCACTCTTTCACTCTCATCCCGTCAATTCAAAAAACAAATAACTCAAGAGGTGCTTCTCATTTCCTTCTCACTCATCCATTATGCAAGTGAAGATCAGGGTAAGTTTGGTTGGATCAACTGTCTTCACTGCTTGAGAAGCAGATGAGCATCCTCAGGAGATGTTCTAGCTTCTTCCTGCTCCAGCCTTCTCCCTTACTGTGTGAAGCTTCCTCCTTCCTATCATGCATTATTTGCAGAGGTAGATGGGCAAGGATACTTTAGTATACTAATCTCACAAGGCCTCCTCTTTGTCAGTGTGGATCTCACTAAGACATGAAGCAGCAGTCAGATGAATCACTTCCTTTGAGTTGCAGAAATACCAAAAGATCACCAATTTCTGCTATATTTCTCCCCCCATTCAAGCACACCTCCAAAACAACTCCATTCCACGTTTAGTTCCACATTGGAACAAAATCAGCAAAGATGGGTCTGAATCTGGAGCCTTCAATTGAAGTCAGCAAGATATGTCCCATTGCTTCAGATTACCTGAAGATCTGCCTGTTCTCCAGATTCCTCACCAAGACCCTTGGCTGACTAGAGCAGTGTGAGGGGGCAGATTACTATTTTGGGCAGCATGGTGTCAAGGAACAGAAATTCTGAGTTATTAGACTCCATGATTCCACAGTAAAATAGAGTTACATAGACTCTTAAAACAAAGTAACTAGTTAATAAAACCAATGTAACTTCTAACCTACCAACAGAGATCAACACAGAAACTCTCCAACTTGACTTTTTTTTCATTTTGCTCCCTTAAAACATCAGATAAGAAAACAAGAGCATCTTTTATATGCCCCATAAATAAAGAAAATAATAAAAAGTGCCCCCTAGAGAGCCAACAGTATAATAACAGACAATACTGA